GCTTATCACGTACAAGCGATATAATAACAAGGTAATCTGCTAAGATACGTAGCTTGGTTCGTACACCTTGAATTTTCGCAATCGTCTCTACTTTTTCTAACCTCACCCTTTGTTTCTTGTCCGAGATCTATCATTCGGACAATTTACCCAAGGGGTTATGTGAGAACGTGCAGGGAAGTTGGAGAAAAAAAACGAAACACTATGTCATTCGTTGCGTCTTCAATGCGCAACTCCTACGATGATAAAACGCAGTTATTTATCTTTTGCTTGTACGTGAAAAGCATCCCAAAAGAATATAACAAAGTATCACGCTATTACGTCTACTATTTTATAGTAAATACCACAAATAATTTCCTATACCTTTTATATTTCTACATCTAATAATTTTCTACATTTTCTAATATTTCTTTTAATTAGTTTTAAAGTTAATAAAAAGGATGATACTGAGGTTGATCATTTCTATTGATTATGGAGCATACGGCGTTGAAATCCGCAAATTATCGTAACGAATCGATCGGTTACGAAAAGCCAGTTCATCGCTCAGATTTGCTCGCGCATGCAACGAGGTTGCACGGATGTTATAAACAACATATGTGCCAATTGTAAGGATACATGGGGTACCTTACTCCATCGAACACCTGTTCGTTGCCATACGCATTCCCAAACCATACTTCTCGCCAATCACGCTAGCAAGCTCTGTTCCGTTACAATTATGCGAATTTACGCGTGTACTACTATTTTTAGACTGCCGATGTTTTTTTGCAGTTATAGGAAATTTAAATACACGAAAATTTATAAAATACCCATATTATTCGAAAATAGAAAAAATATTCACAGTACCAATTATATATAACGTTTACAGAGTAGAAGAAATTTCTCTTTAAATCCAATCTTTGTACATGAATTGATAAAAATATGAATTTGTATAAACACCCATAGTTTAATTATTGGATAAAATGTGTTTTGTGCGATAGATATTTGCAAAGAAACAAGTATCCTTAACACTTGAATACCGAAATTATGAAATTTGTACATAGATACGATGGTAAACAAAAGTTTTGGCGCAAACTAGCTTTCCTTGTAAAATACCGCGAAAGATTATCTACCAAATATTGTAAGCATTATACTTTTGGTAGTTTAGATAACTTTTCGTATTGCCTACATATGTACACTTTGTGCAATTTTCAAATTCTCTATAAATACATAAAAATCCGCGATCTAATTAACTCTTTGATGCATAGTGGAATAAAGGGTCCTGCTGCTTTGATAGGTACTTATACATTCAAAGTGGAATGTTTCTCATCCCTCCTCAAATTATAAGATCGAAACACAGTAACACCATCGACTTCATCTTGCCATAGATATAACTAATGCATGTTTGATGGACGTACAGGTAAACGCATGTACTTACTTACTTACTGATTTGGTCAATACGTGTCCACAACACGTCCAGAACGATAGTAGTTATAAATAAATTTTCTGTGTGACTATGGTGTTTCTTCTTTTTTGTCTTAAAATTTTGCGCCCCAGACAGTTAAACGGTACAAATTACCAGTGGAGATTAGAACTAGAATCGCGCGGAACATGTGAATTTCGCAATCCGCATGGCATCGTGAGAATCGTGGCTCAAAATATAACGTGGAGCGCGTCACAGCAATCGCAGAGATGCACGATTCTAGATATCGAACAGGCAAAACCGATTGCAAAGCGTGATGCCTCCATCAGCCTCTAATGAAATATTCAACCCGGCCGTAGAACGATTATGTTGTCACGTAACGCCGCCACGGAAGCCACGCCGATTACATTTACTTTGTGATCCGCGAGAGATTGGTCACCGCTGTCTGTTAACAACCTTCATGTTGCCATTAATGCACGCTCCACGGAACCTCTATAGTATTGCGAGGAATTTTCTAGCAAATAGAAATTTCTCGAAGTAATATTGAAAATAGCCGAGCAGCGACCTCATCGCAGTAATAAACGACGATGATGATAGATTTATTGATTCCTCTATGACGCTACAGGAATTTTGGTTAACGTGTATCTCATCTAGCAAACTAACATAAACAGCTAACTTGCAATAAATATCTTACAACTGTAACTTCGGATTTTCGGCTAAATTTTGAATGTAGCTATTTTGTCAGTTTATTTAAGGATTACCTCAATTTTCATGAGATACAGGCTAAACATTATAAAAATTGGGAAAAGAAATTAAATAACAAATAATGTATAAATACAATAATAAATGAAAAGAAGTCACAAAAGTATGTTTTGGAGCAAAGTCTATCGATTAAAATCTACCCTTTCTAATGTTTCGACTCGTTGAATTATTTCACAATAGATAAATCGACCCTCTTATGCCCCTAGCGCGTCTCGTCAAGCTCCTGTGTACACAAAACGTAATTACTTGAAATCCCAAACACCATGAAAATTTTATCGGCGCCTTACTCGTCCTGATCTATTATAATATCGAATAACGACCAATGAACGACAAAATGGAATTAAAAATTTTAATTAAGAAGCCTCTTTTAACGTTCAATGGGTCATCTTTGTAAAAATCATATTATAAGAATCTATGATAGAAAAATGATCACCCTTATTTGCATAGTACTATTATTTAAATTAGCTTTCTTTAAAGTTTTCAAAGAAATAATGCAAGAGAAAATGAATATAGGAAATAAAAAATAATTTATTTTCCAGTAAAAATGTTATTCTTCATTTATTTTCTGTGTGATAAACGGCATGTAGGATAATACGTAAAATATAATTGAAATAGGCACATGTTTTTATAAGATAAAAATAGGAATTTAAAAATACAACATTAATAAATATTAAGTAGTTGAAATTAAACATTTTATTATATTCTCCGATAATGTTTCCAATCTTCCTACATTATAACGAAGCGTTATTATTAACCTTTTGTTTCATAAAAGAGAAATGGTGCTAACAAATGTGAAATATTAACTGATTAAAATTAATTGATTATACATTTTCCTCGATATACGAGTTCGTTCATTTAAGGCTTTTAATATCAACCGTCATAAATTTTGTTATTTCTCCTGCAATTTTACGATCTTCATTTAGTACAGTATTGTATTGTAAAGATAAATCAATATTTCATTGTTTTTATGATAGCTACAATAAAGATTCGAGCGTGCAAGAATATAATAAATATTAAGTGCAATTAAAATTATGATTGTTCATTTCTACTATACGTTCGTGCATCTAATAATCGACTTCTATCTTTATTTTATTACTTGATAAATATTTTTCAGATTGTATCTCTTTTAAAGTTTCTTTGTATAATCAATTTTATAATAAGATATAAAATATATTAATTAATAATAATTTTTCATATACATGTACAATTATCTACATTTAATACACCAATATTTGATATTACCAAGCAATAATTAACATTGGAACAATAGAACGGCCACTATGTTATATTTTCAATTTACTAAATTAGAACTGGGCATAAAAACTCATTTCCCAATCGAGTGTCTTATTTAAGTAAAATGTACGATTAGTATCTGATGTTAGTCAGAGAAGTCGATGCTCTGAAATTATACAGCAGGTTTGCTTGCAACACATTATGTGTCATCGATTTTTCTGATATGATTCAGTGATTAAATCAGTTCTATGAAACAGCCGCGTGACAGACATTATTTAAAAATCAGCGTATACCATGATCTCCGTTCATTTCGTGACACGAAGCACGCGAAAACTATGAATACTAGGCATTCGACACGCGAGGTTGTATTTTTAAAGAATCTTGTGTCTTTTACTAACGTAAATTACTATTTCATTTATTGTTTCAAAATATAAATAAATAATGTCAAACGAATCATTAGTTACAATTAATTATTATTGTTTGAAAATATGAGTAAATAAAATCGAATTATTATTTCATTTGTCGTATGACAAACATAAAATAAATGTACTATAGCAGCTACTGAAGTGTTCCCTGAAATAATTTTTAAATGGACTTAAATTACGCAAAAAACTATGCATAGACTATAACTTACATTAGGATAATTGAATTGCAAATGATAATAATGAAAAATACAAAAAATAGCACACTGACACTAATTTCTACTTTATATCCAAATATTTCCAAAACGCGAAAATGGTGGCATATAGTAAAAAGGGACGACAACTTCCGGAACCAGGAATAATTCACGCGAATTGATCGGCGCCGTGTCGAGGGATTAAATTAATTTAAGTAATTTGACGATTGCTATCGGCGGAAACATTAAATAAAGTACCACGTCCCGCTTGTACAGGTAGCTGCGTTTTAGATTATAGATCGTCGAGTAAACCAACGTTGGTCACAACACATCAACAGGATTGTGGCCATCGTTGCATAACTGAGTGGTCGTTCATGATGATTGGATGGTCATGTTCACGTTAGCTGTCCTTATTCCATTCAGTCATTTGTCATTAACGGGAAAAAGTGAACGTCACCTCTAGACACGTGTTTATGGCTGAAGTTTAACATCATTCTTCGATTTTTAAATCCGATTACTATGCTTCTAGTGGTTAACCCTTCTGAACGATTGAAAAATAAACGTCCTTTTGTCGTATGTATTCGTAATAATATAGTAATAATTTGAGAAATACTTTAATTACATAGAATTTTGTATAACTTTGTGTACAAAAGACAAGGAATGATAAGATAAGGATATATAAAAGAAATAGAAGATTTCATCTTTACAAATTACGGAAATATTGAGATTATTCTAAATCTCGAAAAATTTGACCACGAACAAAATGTTTCGCATCATAGGATGTTTTTTCGAACAAAACAATTCATTCCTTAAGCATTTCACCATATTAAAAATAACGGAAACAATGCTTTGTAATAGGTTTACTGAGCGCCCTAAATGTAATACGTTTTTCGTATTTGTAAAAAACATTTACTAAAATGAATACTTTGCTACTTATTAATGTGAAAAGATTTCGAAAAACTAAAATCGATATTCCGATTGATTCTGTCTTAGGAACGAGAAGCTGAAAAGGTAGCAGAGGAGACAGCAGCTATGCGTGACGTTAAACCAGAACTTCAACCTGCAAGAAGTCCCGACACCTGGCAAGGGAATAGCTTTTACCGGCATCTCAATGTAATAAAAGGTATGTAATATATGTATAGTCACATAATACCAAATAGATATTGTTTCTTTTTGCTTACAAAATGTTCTGTTTGTAGTATAATCTTTATAATTTATAAGTAATAATGTTGTAAGTAAAAATGTATGTGGGAATCGTGTTAACAGAATTTATCTAGGAAAGGAAAAATATATAAATTCATTTATTTAATTTCAGCAGTCGATAGTAAAATATATAATATACAAATACAAATTACATATAGCATCAATTATCAACTATTTAACCCGAAAATAATTCCTACTAAAATCCATGAAAATATCCTCGCCGTATTTTCAAAAATTCCAATGCATCATTATGATTATTTCCAATCAACTCCAGAAACCAAGCAGTAACGAAATTGCTGCCTAACATTTCTAACGTGATCGCTTGCCACTTAGAGAAAATCTTCCAAAATAATTACCATTCGACAACTAAGCAATAGAAATTATATCCAAATATCGTCGTTTAGAGACAATTCTATAAAATAATTACCATTCGACAGCTAAATAATATAAATGATAAACATCGCTTTGGTAAACGTTTAATCTGCTCGGTATTTTGGACTAGCTTCTCCTCTGTTATTAGCAATTAGTAATTAGCGTGGCACGAGTGGTGCAAAGGAAGCTCGGGAGTTTCAATTAATTAGAGTAATTAGTTGCGACCAGAGTGTTAACTGAGAACGGAGGGTTGCCTCGATATCAGACGCGGGGGTGGATCTTGGAGTTGGTAATAACAGGAAAAGGGGTTGAGGGTGAACTCCTCTCTCGACGAGGAGGCGTGATTTCCGACGACGCTTGCGCACTTTCGCTTCTCGAGTTCAAGTATGGCACGATGCAATCAAGTTTAACTTTGCTTCCGTTAGAAACGAATTCCTTCCTTGTTTCTAAAAAAAATGTCTAAATACAGTCTACAACTCTGTTTAAATTATAGAGTTCGTTGCAATTAATTTTCTTTAATATAATATAAATATAATATAATATAAATGGAATTATCTGGTTTGATTCCTTATATATTTTTACTATTATCTATATAATTTATATAATTTAATATTATATAATTTAGCATGCACATAATATAATTGTATATATTTGTTGAAAATGACAACGTGAGTTCGTGCTCGCCATCCATATGTAGATGCGTTAGTTATAAGAAATAGTAACTAGTTACAATCGATAGATTTAATCGATAGGCTTAAGATGCCTTTTTGTTTTTATCCCCAGTTTTTATAAGCGCATGCAATAAAAGTTTTTTTGGCTCAGAACGGTGTGATAGATTTATCCAGTCAATAAAATAATAACTATTCTGATCTTACCATTGAGTATAGAAATAACAACAATATTTTTGTGTATACATTATATTTTTTTCCTTTCTCTTGCAGTTGTTCTCTTCAAACATTAATACTAACATGTAAACATAGAGAAAACACAGAGATAAAGATACACAAATAATCAATGAAAAATATGTTTAGAATATTATGTATATGTGTGTTGCATACGTTTACTTATATGAAAGCATATAATACTTCGGCTGGAGCAGGAATCACGACATTGAAAACGACCGTAAGCTGAAAATAACGAGATAATCGATGTACCTTATATATGAATGCCAACATGAGATCATCGATAACAAACGAAAATGCTTTGACTAACGTAGACTTCTTGAAGAGAAAGCTTTTGTCCATTATATCGAATCCCTACAGGATATAATTTACCGTATTTACAATTATTCAATAATGTTCCATGAAATGTAATAAAAAATTCCATACAATGCAATGGAAAAGATAGAGAAATGAGCGAGGAAATGTTCAGAATGCAATGGTGGAACGTCTGAGCATTTGTTGCAGACAAAACAGTTTTTTATAAATTTATCCTATTATTTTTTTGTCCGCAATGATTCACGAAGGATCAATTAATGCAAATAAAATCATAGAGTTCCCTTTAAAAAAAAGTGCAATTGTACCTTATAACTACGCCGAGACACTTCTGAAAAAAATCGCACTGCATGATGATAGAACTTGACAAACGATGCAAAACTTGCCTCTACAATTTTATTCCATCTGCAATAGGAACAGAGTTATAGTTCGAGCCAGTTACTAGATTCAACCTGTATATGCACATCCATCGTGATACTTTTCCCATTAAAAATACTCAATTTCTTAGCGATGATCAAGTTCTAAAAAACAACAATCGACTTACCACAATCTAATACTATCTCTGATTCACAATATGTACTATGATTCTAATCTGCCACAAAACATAATTATTCCTTATTTCTAAAACTACATCGCTCTTATATTAAATTTTTCATAGAAAAAAATAGGAGAAAGAGAAAGATACCAATCGATATGACGGAACCGATCGAAAGAGTTCACCTTTAATCGCGCCCAACTTGCTCGACTAACTTTTCAATTTCGCCGGAGACCATTCGCCCGGTTCATTACCCATTCAATCTAAATGAATAAATGAAACGGTTTTTCGATTTTGTTTGTTTCCTTTGATTTGGCTTTGCACGCGGAGCGGAATTTTGTTAATTTTCAACAATGATGATTGCAGGAAGTGAGCCGAACGAGAGAACGAGTGCGGATTGTTCCGCTTGCCATCCACGAGGAATATTTTACGGCCAGATTCATAGCCCGTCTGCGCCCACTAATTAATCGACACGAGATGCAGTAGCAGCTGAAAGAGGATGAAGAGAAGTAGTGTGAGGGTTGGAGGTTAAAGAGAGAGAGGGAGAGAGGGAGAGAGAAAGGATGGAAAGAAAAAGAAGAGGAAAAGAGAGAACGGACGAGTAGATGAGGGAAAGAGAGGGAATGAGGTAGAGAGTAATTCAAAAAGACACTGTAAATTAGGGGTCTCCGTCGGCATTCAGCTTCGGATCCGGTGAATTCCAATTAGTTTAAAGCGCGTTGATCTGATGGCTCTCTTTTGCCTTTTTGTCTTTTTGTAAGTGTACAATGAGAAAATTGGGAATTTATAAATTTTAAGTTGAAAAATAAATGTCAAATATCCAGGATCTTTCTATAACAATATACTTGAAAATTTTTCATTTAAAGTACGTTGGCTTTTATAAGCGTTAAATGAAATTTCTAACTTACAAATGAAACTATATCCAGTAATAATTATAATTAATTTCAAAATTTTTCGATGGTAAAGTTAAAATTAATAAAAGTAAGAATTGATCGATACAATTCATTATATTTATTAATTGATAAATTATTGCGCAAGAAGGCCCAGAAAGTTAGACGATGGAGATTCTTATTTTAAATAATCATTTCACTTTCTAACCTCTCGATTTTTCCATTGACGCAATCTTTCACCAGGCGAATCTCATTCAATTTTCATCGCGGAGACGTAGCAAAACTAGTCTTAATCGAGTAGTGTGGATAAAAATGTTACGTATTTTTTATTATTGAGCAAACTCACGAAATGCACGAAGACACGAAAAAAACACAAAAAAAATTTGATCGTCGTCCTCGTTCTTACGCTCATAATTAATTTTGTAGATCAATTACGCTCGCACAAAAAACACTATTATAAATATTCGTATAACTAATTTCCACGATATAGATACATATACATAAAGAACTTCGCTCAAAACTTGTACGTATCTAGAGATATTTATTTTCGATTCTTATGGTGAACTATATGAATGCGTATAATCATCAAGTTTCGTGCAAATAGAGAATTGTTTGTATTACAAAACTTTGTAATTTTACGAACAATCGAAATGTACGTACGTGTGTAAATGGCAGGAAAAATGCAGTTAGTCACGAACTTCAAATACGATGACAGAAACTTGATTGTGGAAAGGACGATCAATAGTCAATTATACTTCTCCCTGGAATTAAAATAAATTATTCTTTGACGTTAACTAATTACAGAGAAATTACAGAGAAAAAAATGGAGTTCATATCAAAAACTATCTTTGACAACTTTTATCATTATCTGTTATAAAGATATTCCAGCATTTTTAGCTTTTGTCTAATCAATCTGCCCAATATTAATTCAATAATGATTATACATATATACAATGACAAGTGTATAAATATAGAAATGTAATTAATTATAAAATAAATTAAGGTAAATTTAATATTAGAAGAAAGAATCTTATATTAAATTTACCTTAATTTATTTTATAATTAGTTATTCGAAATAAAAGTTGAAACATTGTTCTTTATTTAGGTACAGCGTTTGAAAGTATAAGAAATTTTGTATCGTAGAAATAAATTCTTTCGTAATACAATTTATAACTGAATTATATAATAATATATAGTTGAATTTACGAGTAACATTTCTATATTTATACACTTGTCATTGTATATATGTATAATCATTATTGAATAAATAATATATATATACACAACCTGTGCGTGCTATTGTATATTTCACGCACATTATTTTATTCATGTGGCAATATGAAATTAATTAATGCCTACTTAACTTATTCATACTACGGAACTGAAGCATTTCTGCAACGAAACATATTTCGATTTCACGATCATTGGTATGAATTCCAGGGTTAAGTACGATTCACTAAGACGTGCATGCACAAACATGCATTCGAGGATTCCTTTACATTGTAATAATTACTCTACTTAGTGCACCGAGGAGCTAATGCAGCTTGAAATTGGCTTCTCTGCGCGAGTCGATATGCTGTGCAATATAGGTACTCCTTACGGTTATTAGCCTCTCGAGCGAATGGTTAGTCGTTGCGATCGCTTGTCCGATAAAAAAGATAGTGAAAATATGTATGGAGCGGATGTTCCTGAAAATTAACGTGAAGATATTAACAGATTCTCTTCATCGACACTTTTGGAATTGAAGACCATAGGGATAAAACATGATAAGTTACATTATTTGCGTTTCATGTCAATATTAGCTCATAACTGGTATACTTAAACCATTTGGGACCATAACAATTTAGGATTAGGTTACTTAACTTTGGAATTTTTCATTTAATTTCACTTTATTACTAGTTTCACTACTAGTTTATTTACTAGTTTCGTAGAGAATATGAAATACAAAATAAAGTGAAATAACCTAAACTTTATAAAACCATACTATTTAAGAATTAAAATTCTAATCACCCCGTTTTTAATTCACCCCTTTAATTACTTCTGAGAAGATTTTAGTTCTTCCCTCCTCTCCTTGAGACTCAAATTATCAAAATTCGACTATATATCATGTGTTTTTATCTTCAGATTCAACTGGTTGTTTTCGTCTTTTATTGTTTATCGTTTATCTCATGTGGTCTTCAGCTACGAATCTACATATAAAGGAAATGTATTACCTATACATGAAACATTACAGTCAATGGGGAGAATCTGTGTTATTATGTCGTATCATGAGGTACGGTATTCGATGAAAGTAATTTCCTCTGCTTTTTATCTCGTAGAATACCGGTGTATGCGCAACACTGCTGTAAAGGATGCCGTGTAGATGGTACGAAACGTATTGTTGATAAAGTACATAACAAGTGTAAGCGGCAGCATATGGAAACACTATGTGTAATCCGAATAACAATAAAAGTTCTGATCACTGGTGTATGTTGATTATGCTCTATTTATTCATAAATAGTATTTTATTTCATTGATTTGTTTTTTGTTCCTAACATATAAATTGTGAGAAATGAGGAGATAAGTTAACATTAAAACTCCAAAATTTTGAAGTGCACAACAATTTTTAACTGTTTTGCATATAATAAAAAAGCGTAAAAGAAACAAAATAGAACATTTGCATGGTATTGAGCAATGAAAGAAAAGTTTATTTTTAACTCTATTATATCTTTGCTACTTTTAATTTCGGAAATCTTCTTTATATAAAAATATCAATATAGATATATAATTAATGATAAGATTTTATATAATACACAGCAAAGTTAAATCAAATTATAAAACAGAAAACAAAAAGTACGAAGCAGTCACGTAAATATAACAAATACAAAGATACATTAAGCTGACCAGAAAAAAACAAATCTCTTTCGATTACTGGAGAAACTGGTGTATAGTAGAATGCACGGTGTAATTTTGGTCGTTGGATGTATCCTGGCTGTGAAATCCTCGGGGAGCACTCCCGCTTACACGAGGACGCTCCAATGAGCAGAAACCCTTAACAGATACAGCTTGTAGTCCCTGGACGATCGTCAGCAAAATTTCAGATTTCGACCACATATGGTACTCACGATACTATTTTCGTAAGCGTATCGGCAAAAGAAATATGAAGAACTCAATCGTCTTTTCATAAAATATACGCGATCGTATGTACTACTTACATACAGAGGAAAGTTATCTTTAACGTTCAGAAAAGAAGTTTATGCAACAGTCATATTATATATTTTTTCAAATACGAAATTTGAAAATTGTAATTTTCTTCTAAAATGTTTATTTACAGGAGAGTATAAAATATGTTTTTTTAAGACTTCTTCCGTAAGTAATTAAGATAATAAAAAATAATAAAAAAATAAGATTAATCGCTTTATTCGAAATTAAGTTCTCGAGTTTAATTGACTCTATGCTTGTAAATTTAACTATTATTCATAGTTTGTATAATGCAAATGAAGGTACTTGAATTTTGACATTAATCCGACACATATAAATCATTTTAATTCTATTTTAATTAAATACGGTTTCAGAAGAATTAATGTTTCTGGCTTTCAAAAATATCACATACATTTTATAATAATAAAATAAATTAAATATAAAATATAGCATTTAATATTCAGAATTTTATACCCAACTATAACAATGATAGCCATTAAAAACAAAAAAAAAATTTCGATAGTAATTATATAAAATTTGCATAATACACATACCTAATGTTAATATAAATCCTAATTAACCGTCAATTCCAGAAGACTAACTAAACGTTTCCTTTTTATATATATAATAGTTTGTTACACGTTCTGCAGGACACTCCATGTTCCTGAACGAAACAAACCTTTACAAATACTCCCGGTTTCAGAGTCTAGATGACCCTTTATAATGGCACATGAGCATGTATTGTCGGGACGTGAGGTAGTTACGGGAGAAGTCAGCGCGAGAAAAGCCAGTCGTACTTGTAGATTCCTCCCGAGAGGCAACGGTGTCTTCGTTCGCGAAGCCAATTTGCCGGAACATTAGCCGCAGACGGTGTTTCTTCAACGATGCCTATTATTGATATTGCCCGTTTGTGATCGACTATAATCGATAGAGATACTTCACGAAATTCCACTTGCTTCTTTTCCAACAATAAAAAAAAAATACAGATTAATCATCTATTTGATAAATACTACATTTTTCTTAACTGTTAACTGGTATCGTTAAATTATCAATTGTTGATATCGTATGAATAATACACAAAATAGAATCCACCCACAATGTGATCGATAAAGGTGACTTCGATTCTTGCGTGATACAGGAATTTTGAAGTAATTTTGTCCAATACACTGCCGAAATGATTTAACGTCAGTCTTCCAATCTTAAATGTTTGCATAATGAAACAATTAAAGTGATGACAATAGTAATAGCAATGTTACGCCATATGTTAACTTAACTCATTATAATTTAAATCGTCGCGTTGCATTAATTCTCATAAATAATTCTACCATATGACAAAATGTGTCATAATAAATGCAAAACATGTTTAAATATAATCGTTTCATTTAATATTATAAAAAACATTATGCAAGCGAATGTTACGAACTTTGAATCACAAACTATATTGGAAAAGAGAAGAGAGGAAAAACATGATGTTTTTACCTATGGCCCTCGTGCAGAGGCGAAGAATGTATCGGAAGCCAGTATAACAAGCAAGGATTTAAACACAACTTTCAGTCATCTACAATAAAGTCGACAAGCTGAGTATTTAAAGAAACATTTTAATTGCACGAGGTAAGCCGCTTACGTGGCCCCTCTCGCATGCATTAATAAAAACGACCCTCCTGTTATGGGATGCGAACAAGCAGCGGGTATTGTATCTGCCAGAAAGTAATTCGACTTTTCCCTCGAAGAAAAGCGTCCCTGAACGAATATTTCTTAAACTCTAGAAGAGGAACAATGAATGATATTCTGAAGGATGTTGCTTTGTCAAATCGTTGTCAATTGAAGTATCAAATTAAATTGGCATTCTCGATGAGATTAAAGATATTTATTTTTTGCAAATTTCTGGAACTCTTCCTTTCCCTCTTTCTTTTTTATTTTTTGTCAATTCTTACGTTCATTTAAAATAAAAATGTAAACATTTGTGAAACCTATTTAAAAGAATTACAAAAGGAACCTAAGCTAATAAAAAATTATTGAAAAGGACTCGTATAAAATAGATACAAAATTTAGAATAATTATCTCGATCTGTAAAAATTTTATAATTAAATTACATGCTTTTAGACGGTAGTTTACTTCAAGTATATCAATCCATATTGTATAATCCATAAATATCAACTTATTAACTTCTATAAATGTAAAAACTACTATTTCGTTGATCGATTTTATGTTCTGTGTATATTAATTAAACATTTCTTTATCCTTTTCGATGAATACCATAACCAAAAGAAATAAAAAAAGCCTACTTTTGAAACATCTTGTATAAAAAATTCTAATCTAATAAAACTTGAAATAAATATAAAATTAACCTACCTATTATTTCACATATAACTTAAATCCTTTAAAATATCCTGAGATTCATTTTGAGACTTTTCAGCTTGCTAAACACTGGTGAAAAAAATTCCACGACCAGGAGCACATAAAGAGAAACTAGCTCTGTAATTGGGCATGAAAAGGCTGTATTTTCCGTGGTTAACTTCGGGAAAAGCTGAGTTTGCGGTAGCCAGATAATAACGCAGCTCAAGAAAACGCGAATAGAGGCTCGATCTTGCGGCGCGAACTAGTATGTGCAAGCGACGCCACGTGGAGAGGATGCTTTATGAGGGTTCTTTTTGAGTTGATGGTATGCCTTGTTACCGGGAAGAACCGTGCTCCCTCGGGTAATATCATATACAATTATGTCCACCGAAGGGCAGATATGCATTATGGATGCAGCTTTTATGCCCAGTAAATCATGTCGCAGGCTTGGTTAACTCTGCAAATGATCTGCAGAATCACGCCTAACCACCTTCCCAAAGATAAGCAAGCCTTCTTTCTTTTTACGATTGATACTACTTTTTTTGGGGTTTCAAATGTGTATGAAATGAGGTTAAGAATGATATTTAATATAAATGAAGCAATTAATGTAACTGCTGAGATAAAGAAATATTGTTTTTATATTTGTTGGTTGTATCTACTAGAAAGTAAAAAATAGTAAATGTATTATAAAATGGAGGTATATTTTTGTATATTTTATTATTTATGTATTATGAATAAAAAATTGTAACAAATTTTAATAAATAATAAAAAGTATTAAATTAGTTAAAATAACTAAAATTTAATTTAGTAAAATATTTTACACTAGATTTTAGGGGACCCGTCATTTTGTTGCATTTTGAATTCCATGAGGAAAATTACACTTTCCGTTTATACTACACAAACCGTTTATACTTTTCTTCTACCATTTGTACTCACTTATCCATTTAAAGAGATAAATATATATCGAAATTCATTTTCTTCAAAGCTTTCTCGTTTTGAAGTTTTCTATGTGATATATCTATCTCTTTGGATACATGTCAATTTAACGCAATCGAAATGTCGGTAAATCTAGTGTTAAAATTAATTAAACTTTTATTGTACATTACTTTTTAGTATACATCATTATGTTTTTAACGTAATATATTTATTTCTATTATGCAATATATTTACTATATTTTACTTGATAATAAATTAGTTAACAGTACTCTTTAGGTTTTATGTAAATGAAGTTTAATTATGAAGTAGTTTAAAAAAAAAGCATTTAATTGTGCTGATTGAAATAAATAGAATAAATAGTTAGAAAATATATAGAAAATTTATTGAAATGAATTGTATAGTATGTTAAGTGTTATTAGATGTTTAACAAACTACTTTAAAATGCAAAAAATGAAAGATCTAAGAAATCATTGAAGACCGAAAGTAGCATGACATAGAGCACACTTTATTTCTTAATTAGTGATAATAATTATTTAGCATTGATCGAAATCGAGTACATATCGTATATTTCTCTTCGATCGAAGTTCAATAATCATAATAGATTAATTTATTAATATAAGTGTAATTAATTGTAATGTATTGTCTGAAAGTATCACTGCGTTGCATCCACTGGTCGTCTCTTCGCACTTCGTCAAGGACAACCAAACAAATTAACAAGAAAACGAGATCCAAGACAAGAAGCTTAAAAAACATAACCTACAAAAAGAACAAAGGAAGAAAAATATCCCGCTTCCTTTCGTGTTTCTCGATGAATTCCAAACATTTTGACGCTTACAAAATATAAGTGGACCAGAATCACGAGAAATTCGAAAGGAAGAGTTTCGAATAAAGAATGAGTTATAGAAGAACGATGAAAAGCTAAACTATACAAGATAGGAGGAAAAAAGAATAGCGTCTGTAATTCGAGTTTTCCAGACCAAGGATGCTCAGTGACTGCGGGGGGCGGTAGATTCAATGTCAGCCCGACCCCGAAATAGTTAGATTACAATTAAAATGCGGAGAGCTTGTCGTTTCGAACGAAATTTATGCGTTCGAAAATAAATTAACCTCTACATAAAATACACTACTTGAAATAATGTTTTTTTCAAAAAGTTCGTAGCATTTTTATTATAAATTTCTATTGAATAACGAAACGTTCGCTGCTCTTAGTTGAATACTAGAGAGAATTAAGGAGGAACACCGAAAATTCGTTAATAAAATAAGTGTCCTTTTTTCATTGAAAGGATGTTGAATCTCATACATTTAAGAAATTTTGAGTCGTAACTGATAGATTCACCTTTATCTCATTCACTGAATATAGTATAGTCTCATTGTTATTGCGCTCTTTGTAAAGCTTATTCGAAAGATAAAAAAGTGAAATACTCCGGAAGGCGGTAAAACCTATTTGAGAAAACCCATTACTGAACAAACAATTTTTTAAAAATAAATTCGTGAAATTATAGATTGCGAAAATTCCAATTTCAATGAAATCTTTCTTAACTTTCGCTAAGAATTTTCAGAACACCCTAAAATAGTAAATCTACCTACATATACATATTACAAATAACGCATTTCTATAAGAAATATAACCTAGTAAACGTACGCATACATATGTACTTATATATATATAAAATGCTTCTTCGTCGCCATTAAGAAAGGTAAAAAAAAGAAAAACAAGAATAACGATTACTAGACTGCAAGCATTTACACTCTTTTTAATATAATTAAGGAAATGAAATCTAAGCAAAGATCTGTTTCACTATACTTCGAGTATTTTATGTAATTTTGCACTTTGAGATTTCCATAAATATATAATATATATTCAATACATAAATATTCGCAGTCCAATAATCGCTATAAAACTATTAACATAATTTTTTAAAATGAACAGTCAATTCGAAGCTTCGAGCGTGCTCCATCGTTCGAAAAGGAGGCAAGCCCTCCGCAGAACAATATTCAACATTTAACAATAGCCAACATTTATAGAGTAAGATACCGATCTGTTTTTTTAGTTATTCATAGATCGTTTCATCTCGTTCTCCTTTTATTTTTCTCTACAATCGTCGATCGTATTATAATTCCCAGTTGACAGAGATTGTTGTTATAGGTCCGCGAGGGCAACAATAATTATCACTCAACGAGAATAAATCCCTCATGATACTCTTTTTTTAAACGTACATATGTATGTATGTACCAGTGCAGTGTTTCTCAAACCGCAAAAAGATAATCTCGATGATATGTCTCTCGTTCCAGAAAGATACTTATATTGCTATCGTTTGCATGTGGACGCAAGTTACAAGATTCCCAACCTTCTCAATCATGATTTTATCTAACTATATATCTCTCAACGATTCTCGACAACGCTTGGAAGATGAAACTCACGCCTCACTAATTCGCGTATTTTTATTAATTGACGAAATTCTTTAGCAGCGGCTAACGCTCGAAAGAACATAAGGTTATCACAACCTGTGGTTTTGTAGCTATAAGCTGTTACATTTTCGACAATTATAATTACGAATACATTCTCTGTATGGCACCTAGCCGCTACGATTGTTACGTTCTTTCGCGTCGTTTTGCTCTGCCGAAGACAAAAATCACAAAGAACGAGAGTTTTGTTCCTCTATTGCTCGAAAGAAGAAATACGTAATAAGATTACGCTTTCATTCGAAAGATCATTGATATCTAACATCGAAGGCATTTGTTTATTTACTATCAGATTTATCTTTTCCCTTTTCTTCAATCGTGCCTTTGAGAAACACTGATCCAGCGATTGTGACTTAAACAGCATGACGTTAAAATTTTAATATTGCACAACATCGATAACACTTCGATTTTTTTTTTGTCGGAAAAAGTTTTATGCGACTTATGATGAATTACAATAGATAAAATTATATGAATGTCTCTTCTTCTTCGTTTTCTTTTTTTCTCTTTCTGTTTCGTCTCCGCAATGACTGAACGCTGATGACGATAGTAGTGTGGTATTCAAATACATCAGCTGATAACTCGGAACGATTTTCATTTTCGTGGCAAATCAAACTATAGGTTTCGTTCTTAAGAATTTTAAATGTCGTAAGAACAACGTTCCAATTCATTTCTCCTCGATTCTTATATTTTGTATCTTCAAGAAATAAAATATGTTATAATTTATATCTTTTTTGAAGTTAGGATTCCCTTTTTCCTTTTTATCATCATGACAACTAAAAAAAGTTCAGAAAAAGATCAACAGGTAATAATTATTGATCTTTTCATTTCGCTCATAAAATAGACAGTAAAATTAGTTATATTATAAAAATTTATATAGGTTAAATTTTAATATTGGTTAAATTAAATGTAATGTGTATCACGGATATGTACATTAAATGGTTAATAATTAGATTGCAGACCTTATGCATTCGTAAGAAATGTATGTAATGCAAAAATATACAAAACATTTAAAGTATCGACGACAATATTTAGAGAATGAAAGAAGTCCTCATATCCAAATACACATAAAAATATGAATTTACATAAGCTATCGTAAATTATATGCGGATTTGAAATTTTATAATCTGTTATAATCTCTATATTAGGAAAGATCCCAGTCATAAAATTTTTAATCATGAAACGCACTCACATTGGAACGTCGTTCTTAGCGAGTTGTTATAATTCATAAAATACCAACTATATGAAACTGCTATTGGAACAGTTAAAAATATAAAGTAAGGCCAAGAACGTTTTTCATCATGGAAAATGTTTTCATTGTAACAGTAAATGGAAAAATATACGAGTACCAGTAATAATAATGCCATCGTCGTAGTCATCACTGTTGTCGCCGTCATCGACAACATATATGTATATATATTGTATATGTATATAATATGTAAGTTATATACTCTAACATTATTATATTATGCTTAGCAAATATTTTGTTTGAAGATTTTTTACCTAAAATCCACGTGGCAACAAATAACCAAGTTCCTTAATTACTTTCATTGTTCTGGCGGTTGAACTCTCGTACAAAGTCCAAGAAGAATAGAAATTAAAATATCTAATCTCTAAAATACTTAGTAAAGTAAAATCTATTTTATTCCGAAAATATCGCGTTTTACTAGTCATTCGAATTAATTTGCTAAGAAGTTACACTTAACAAGAACTAAAATCTTAAAAAAAAGAAGACAATTTGAGACTATAACACAGAAGGAGCTCAGAATTAACAAGTTTTAAATGAATTAGAAATGCTGACTGACAGAAATACATACATACGACTCGAAACAGTCAGAATGGAAAACATGGAATATTTCTAATTATTCATTAAATATTAATCGACGACTTCGTGGAAGAGGTTCGCCGCCATTTTGAAGATCGCTTAACTAAATTCTAACTCTCTAGTCAGTGTCACCTAAATGATTAAAAAAAAATGACAAATGATACGAGATAAACGTTGAAAAAATGATAGAGGAATGAAAAGGAATTACTATACAACATACGAATCCATATTAATAATACGAATTATGTGGCTTCTTTTTTGCTGCGCCGTGCGGACCAACGCAAAATGGATGACATGATTTCAATTACCTCTCTCTCTCTCTCTCTCTCTTTCTCTCTCTCTCTCTCTCTCTCTCCCCTTATATTAGGAACAATGCACTTGAGAACATGATGAACAAATAACAAATGTATGGAAAGAAATATACAACATGAAAACATGAACGTTGAATGAAATCATGAAATATGAACATGATATATCGAGTGATTCAAATACTTATGACTGAAAAATCGATTCCGAGCAGATCAACCATCACTTAATAGGCAATATTATTTTGTTCTATGTCTACTAAATGAATATATGATTGTTGATTGAATGAACGGGAAAATACTTGAGGTAAAAAGTATTTTGAAAAATTTCAATGCAGTCTTGGCGCTCTGATGTCTTTGTGCAATAAAACTTTGGTGAGAAATTAATGATATTAAATCGATGACATATGAAGCGACATTAAAAAGTGAGAAAAGAGCCGCCCTTGACAGTGGACTGCCATCGTAGGTACTTCATGATGTATAACATTGTGTGTACATGTATATCTCGTGTACGTGTATACGTATGTCATACTTAATTGTAGTACTGTAAGTCATGTGTTATATATATATGTATCTGCGCGCGCGAAGGTCCTTACGTCGATAAAAGACACTATAACATTATATATGTACATTAACATGCGTATAGAGCTATTCCTGGGGACAAAAGGAAAGAAATAAAATAAGTGAATAGAGTAGAACTTGAGGATTCATCCATTTCGAATAAGCGAACCATAACGCAATAAGTGATTTCAGTAGGGAAGAGAGTAATCTTGAAAGAGAGATTTTTAGGCTAATTGTTTGTTAATTTAAGGTAATTCTCGTGATAAACGCTGATGAACGAATGCAGGGTCTTTGGTTTCGAGACGCACCGCGTCTCCTTAAGGTAATGGCACTACGACTTGCACGTAAGTTACTGGGAAATAACCCGTACGACCGTTCAGGCTACCCTCGAACCAGTTCTCGTCAATCTTTTTGGTCAAAGTGATCGTATCATTTTCCTGAAATATAATACACCATTGTTAGATACATTACTTATTTAAAAACATTTATTTTTACATTTGAACAATTTTTCTAAACCTAATAGCTTCGGAGATATTTCGTCAAATATGTTTCCAACATCCAACTTCGGGAGCTGTTTTCACTCTTTCAACATGAATATCAGTACATAAAAAAGATATGTGTCAAATACTTTTTCAAGAACTACATCATACTACATAAGTTTTATTAAAATCTGTAATTTACATTTGAGAATGTTTCTATGTTAATTCACTTTTATTTTCAATGCCTCAATTACGATAACAAAAAATTAAGTTACAAAATATTTAATTAAATACATTTACCAATTCAGATTACTCACACAAAAAAACAATCAGAAATGGAAAATTGTATATATAATTGTATTATATTTACTTTAAAGCCGAGTTCTCCAGGATTTTCTGCCTCGAAATCGTACAAAGCTGTACAGCAAGGTTGTCTTGTCATCGGAGTCCTGGCTGGCGATTTGCTCGGTGATGGCAAGGGCGAAGCTAGAAACCATCAAGAATTTTAGAATTATATTAGATACAAATAGATAATGCAACAAAATATTAGGCTTGCTGCAACAGTCTTAAATTAGAGCACTACAGTATCTAAATAATTTGAATTTTATCTTCAATAAAATAAAACATAATGCAAAACTAAATGTATGATAATATCTGATGATCAACTTAAACAGCTATTCTCGCTAAAATCTAGATAAAATTATGAAGTACAGTGAATCACATTAATATTTAAATACGATAATGTCTGAGATTTATATATGCAGTGAAAATTAAATTAGAAAATTAGATTTCTATTGGTTCTAAGTAGACTTTTTATATAATTTTTATAGAGAAATCTACAACAATCCAATAAATACTATATTATTAAAAAATGATAGTAAACAACATAATGATCTTGACATTCAAGTTTTATTGTGAATCACTATATCTTATAAAATTAAGAAAAACAAAGTATTCCATAACAGTACACACAAAAAGAAGTGTATAACCATTACATAAACATGCATGTATATACTTAATGACCAGTAAATGGCTAAATTAGGATACATCGATAGAAGATACACAAGAAGCAAAATAGTAATTACTTTCTTGCCCTGTTTGCGGTGCACGAAAAGCGATAGAATTGAAATTGAATAATTAATCGATCGATCGAAACCTACGATAGGAGAAACCAACCCCATGCAAAATTTACCATTGGCAGATTGTGGCGGGTTTCCGGCTGGAAATAGCTCAAGCTGCGAGCGCTTCCCATCCCCATGAATCGGAGACCCGGCTCGACTTGCCCCTACATTGTGTCAAAAGGACAGACATTCAGGTATACGAGAGTATACACACAGAACAGTCGGATAACGTGTAATGAATGTGTTAGAGATGAGTTTCGCGAAATTACGTTGGTGTATCAATATATACATAGTTCATACTTGCGTACAATTATTTCTCGAAGTATCAAAAATACAAAAAAATTATTGCTTAGCTTGGAAACAGTAAAATAAAATGCATTCAAGGTGATAGGTAAGTAATTGTGTTAAATGTTTAATTAAGTGAAGCAATAATAATAAGTGAAGCAATTTCACCTTTTATCACCTTTAAATAGATAAATAAATAAATTTATATAGAATAACTTTCTAGCATTTGAAAAAACGAAATGCTAAACCCAGAAACATTATATAATATTATTTATCAAAATTAACATAAAACTGTAGGAAAATTTGTTATTCAATTTGTTAGCTCTATTACAATCTCGACGAAACCATAATAAAAAAGAAGATCAATCTCCACATTGAAGTTCAAATATGATTTCATCGACTTTTATATCTTACTATTATGTCATATTTTAGTGTGTATGTAATATATTCCTTTGAGTGCAAAAGATAACAAAAATTTAATGTCCGTTTGACAGTCAGAGTAATAGCGAGGGAAACTCAATTAGGAAAGAGTACAATGTATACGACTATAGTGTATAGTTGCAGGACACGCAGAAATGTTGCATGACAGAGGAAACAAGAAACAGACAGCCAATTCACCCGCAAGAGTCATTATCTTGGATGTGAACATATGTGTGAATGTGTTTTACCGTGGAAGGAGAAGTTCCCACCGTTCATAGCATCCGATGTAGGTAATGCATCGACGTGTAAATCGGCCAATGTCTTCGGTATGAATTCCATTTTTGGTTTGTTCGCTGCCTCGTCTTTCCTGTGATTAAAGATAAAAATACAATAGCATAATCATTACAAAATTATTGTGGATAATAAGTGGAAGATTATTTCATAGCATAAAATAATGTTATTAGGAACCTTAAAACTATAGAAATTAGAACAAATTCATATAATAAAGTAAAAGATGTATAGATATTGTTAATAAAGACCACTATAGTGCGATTCTACATCTTTAGATCGATAGAGATTCGTTAAAGAAGTTGTTACAAAATTGTCTTTAACTTCGAATTTCAAACCTCCACCGATCCAGAGGTATAATGTCGCACTGTGATGATCTTTAACAATAGTATTCATATACCCTGTACATAATATAATCACATTAAATTACACAAAGAATCAAAATTCTTTTTTAGAGCAATACAGAAAGTGAATTTCTTAAGTGAAAGTGAATTAATATATAAATTGCCATAATTTTTCAATTTATTAATTAACATTTATATTCTATATATTTTCTTGTAAAGAATTATAAGAAATAAAAGATGTTCTAAGTCTAGATATGTATACTGTATCAATACATACTTCTCCAAAAGTGTCTCTGTTAGTGTTCTTAGAATCTCAGTACACTGCTGATGGTACTCCAGGAGACCTTCACTGAATGTTGCCAACTGTGCCACTTGTTCAACCTAAGGAAAAAGCAATGAAAAGCAACAATATAGCAATATAACAATGATAAGCAAACATCTTTAAGTTTTTATCGTGTTAATTGCTCAATTCTTCCATGAAGAATTTGATACATCTCTATATAAGAACTTGTTCAAGTAAAAATTAACACACATTCAATTAGTTTTTTACTTACATCATTCTCCAAAAGGTTGAACATGCCCAATTGTGCCAGATGGAGACTCTCTGCAAATTTCTCTTCTGCTTGACGAATTTCGTCGTCTGAAACGTGAGAACCTGCTCGCAAAATTTGCGCCGGTGAAGGTATTAAAAATTGTACTACAGGGTTGCTTAAATGCCTATGTTTGATACATTATAAGATATACACACAACAAGGAGTAAAAGTTAGCGAAATTAAACCATATGAAATGCCTAAGTACTTTGATCGTGTACATTCCTTCTTTCTCGAAACACAAGCATTTATAATACAGATATTGAAGTTTCACTAGAAAATATATACAGAGTAAGTACAACACATTCAACATTCGCAGTACCTTTAGTGCACTTCTGAATATATTTATATTTGTTATACTTAGTATTTTTGATATAATCATCTGAAAGGATTGTGAATTACTATGATATAAATCTACATACATTTATTTTAGAAAAAATATACAAAGATACATCAAAGATGAAAAAAGAAAGATTATAACTTGGATTGTTATTTATATGCATATAATGTAACGTAATGATTATGGATTTAAAGGGAAATAATTAAAGGGTTGATTATTCTATATGTTTCTAAAAAAAGCAACTAAATCTAAAAAATTGGAAATAAAGTGAGGAATTTAATAACTATTGCACGTAGGAAATCACGTACCAGTGTATGGTGAAGAAGACTTCACTGGACTTCCAAAATGAGGACTGGCTGATCTTTTTCCAGTTGCTAATTATTAAGAATGCAGACAAACAAACGGAAAACAAATATTTTTCTCTCATACTAAACTGAAAAACTTAATGATTGATAATTTGCAAATAAATATGGACCTTCATACGCATTAAGATCATCTGCAATAAATAATCTGCATTTTAACTTGATGAAACACCCCATATAAACAAATAAAAAATTATCATGGTAACATCAACCAACTATAATTTATCTATGACAAAGTGCACATGCAGCAGAACATGCGAATGGAATGCCTGTAAACTAAGACAATGAACTGAAAATGAAGGAAGAACACGCATAAATCATTTAATAAAGCTGCATTTCTTGTCCGATTTTAGATTTTATCTTTACATGTTATCTTTATTTTTAGTAGAGTGACCCATGAAACTATTTGAATATTCATAGAAATCTTTTATGAATGTGTTATGTGTGTTATACAGAACTGTTTGAAATTGCATTAATACTGTAGTGAGATATGGCTATCATGACATAGAACTTTTACCTGTCACATATTAAAATATTCCTTCTTAATCATAAATTGTTATTACCATATAAAATATAACATAACGAAATCGAGTCTAAATAATTAGTAAGTAAATGCATAAATAATTAGTAAGTAATAATAAATACAATGACATGTAAATACTTTGTGTAGCCACTGTACATCTGTTTTATATTTTACCAACGTAAATCATGATACTTCTATCTTACTACAATACCAATGAAATTTCAAAATATGTAACAGGTATAATATATCCATAAGAGGTTTTCAGAAGTGTTCGAACGCTTTTGTGAGCCACTCTATGTGCGTATAATTGCAAACGACACGCATCAAGTTTTTGTACAAGGTGTGCAAGGACACAATGTGCGCGGCCCCAATGTGTTGTGCTTAAATAAATCAATAAATATCGCAGAGAAAGATAAAGTCAACTCGCGTCCAAGTATACCTTTCGCTTGACGTCTCCGCTTGCAATCGAAGTCCAGCCTTCGTCCCTGAAGCTTTTTCCGGTGATGCTGAAAACAAAAAGGGATATCAATTCCCGTTCTCGAATACATGCACTTTTCCCCTCTTTCTTTCTTTCTGTCTCGTCGCGTATTCTTGTCGCGTTAAACTGGGACAACGCTACTCAACGAGTCAAGTAGAAAAGCCAACTTTTTTTAGTAACCAACCTACCATCACTTCTTTCAAGTCTTTGGTCTGCAAATGGTGCAGAGGCTCCAGGAAGTTTTGTTTAATGTTGTCGTCCAGAGAATATTTCACGTCCGCCATCTGCTTCATCGCCTCGCCCATTTCAACCAGAGCCTGAGCTGCGAACAGAAATTAGGAAAGATTAATGAGCCGAATGTTTGCTTGTACTTAGATGCATAATTTATACGTCTGCTCTACTAGTTTCTTCGTTAGGTATGCAATTACGAAAGTTATGGGTTGAGATGCGAATGTCCTCCGAAAGTTAAAGTAGCGGCACAGCTTTTTGGTGATAGGAAGTGAATATGAATGTTTTAAAATAACAATTAATTATTAATTAAGTCTAACTATATGGACTGAACAAACGTACCGAAAATACTATCCTCTCCCAATTTCTTTCCATAAATAAGCATGCAATCGCCGAGAACACCTTCTGGTTGGGGGTAAGTCGAGGCTTTTGCCTGACCGCTGAGCTTACTGATGCCCTTGACCGCGGCCATCTTCGCTCTTGCAGTTGGATTTGGCTGAAGGAACTCTTTCGTTTTCATTTGTAACTCCTCCACCAGCTCATACGTGACATCCGTTTTCTACGATCAAAATTATATCATACTGTACGTTAGCTTAAATGATATTACATTATCAAATTTCTACTTTTATTTCGTTTTCTTATTTTCTTTTTCCTAAATTCTATTTCTAAATAATATTTCAAAGTACATAAGGAGTTCATTTCTTTGAAGTAAAAGAGGTGCGAACAAATTTCATCAAGAAGGTTTCATTGGCGAGAAGATTGATCGAAGGTTAAAGGCGATGCAATAAGAACACCTTCCGGAAACCTTAAAAATGTAGAAACGTGTACTCACCCTCTCCATATCCATGAAGTCAACGTCGAGCTTGGTTCCTTCCGCTCCGCCCATCTTCTCTGTCATATACTGGAAATACAAATTTCATTAGAATTAAATAATAAGATTAAACATTACAATTTTATCCTTCAAATAGTGCTGCTAGATTATGTATGTATAACTATTATAACTTATGTTAGATTACTGAAACTTAGCATATCTAATTTTATTTTATATTTTACATTCTTCAAACTAAGTAATCTAATTCCAAATTGTTATGGTTGCCTGTGATCTAATAATACCAGTTAAGAGTTAAGTACAGTCGATCCGTGGTAATTCGAAAATCGTGACAAGATTACATTTTGTTTATTCAGGAAGCCTTCAAATTCATGAAACATAAAAACCTTAAAATCTGCAGGTACACGCGAAAATAGCAAATGATTCTTTCCATTGTTGCTTTTCGAACTGAAGATCACAGGAATAATTTTAAAATTCTATGTTTCTAACTCTACCTTTTTATTTATTTCTGGGATTAAATATATGTTTTTATGGATACAGACGAGCCTTTATAACTCGAAAATGTCTACAAGATTACGGATTTATCCATTATAAAATTTATATGAATGAAAAATGTCTCATATCATGACAAATCTTTAGTGTTTTTTATAATAATTCACAAAAAAGATCGTAATGCAAGAGCATGAATGGATGAGCGTAACTATTTTTCCGAAAGTAATCCTTGGTTTTACCGTAAATAATTAAAAGGAAAGACTCTTGGTATACGTCTGCAGTAATCAAGAGGTGTGCTTGGAACCTATAAATAACGGTGTAATGCAGAGTTACTTAAATAAATGCAAAGTACATTTGCATTTATTGTTACTGAAATAAATGCAAAGTACATTTGACTTACATGCGACCATCCTGCAAATTATTAATTTCACAATAAATAATGTCGACTACTGATTACTAATAAATAGAATTTAAGTTATGAAACACATTTCTTTAATGTCTTTATTAGAGAAATTTTTATTGTTTTTAACTCTGTGTGTGAGAGATTGAATACTTGAAATTTTATAATTTAGTAATTTTTTAATAGATAAATTAATAACGAGTTTTTCATTAACTTAATAAACTTTCGCGATCTTCGTTTCCTCTCGGTCTTGTTTCCTTATATTATAATTACGTATATTACGTAAATATTCCCTGACACATTTAATAAAATTTTTCTTTTATTAACTTCATTTTATGAATGTTTACTACACTTTTATTTACACTTTTATTATATAATAAATTATTTAATGTATTATATAATAAATTATATAATAACCGGAACGTTAATGCATGTCATTTATGTATACTCATTATTGTTAAATGTATAAACGAACATTTGATTAAAAACAAAAAAAGCACTTTTGAACTGATTATAATTATGCAGGAACTGAATATTATTTGCGCATATTTTTAATTTCTTGAATAATACTCGTTAATTCATGTTGATTACTAAATAATACAAGAGAATTTATATTACCTATTTTTCGTAAAAATCACAAATTTGTTACTCTTGTAAGTTGAACGCAATGTCAATCAATTCCTTATTATTTTCAAACATTTATTTTTATTTTCATAATCTATAAAAAGAAAATATAAAAAAAAACAAATTTTTGTATTATTTCCTATCTTTTTAACGCTGCGTTAATAAGTAGTATAATTTCTACTTTAATTATCACGCTCTCTTTCATATTTTCTCTATTAATTATGTTTCAGGAAATTGATTGTACATAAACGAGCCGGATAAGCTGGTTAAATGAATTTCTACAGCAATAACAAAGTTATGAAGAACAATAATTATCTTCTTCATGATACACTTAAAACTGCATTTAAAATCTTCATAATGTGTCTCCAATCATATCTGAAACCTCAATGATGTACTTTACAATTTGTTAAACTTAGTTGATTTAATTTAGTTTAGTTTAGTCTGTTTAATTTTCAAACTGTAACTTTCGTATCAATTTTCTGCCTAAAATTGTAACTGGTTAGAAAAAGCAGTTGGATTTATAGAAATTACATTTAGCATATTTTTTATACTCATCAATTTATTAAAATTAATCAACTTTATATTATTTTTGTTGAAAGTTTTCTTATTCTTGACGTAACGCAAACTTATCTCTACTAATCAGAAATAGTGAAAGTAGGAAGAGTGAGGTCATTTTTCGTTTCGACCAGGTGAATAATCCACAATTCCTATTTTTAACTAGCACATCAAATATTTAATATTATCTAACATGAACATTTTCTGTTTGTAACCGTTCACTAAAAAATAAATACTCATTGTTTTGTTTTTCTTGTATTTTCATATTTCGTATTATATAGACATGCTTTTTATCTTATTCGATTTTTGCTCGTTAAATTCACCTTTGCTATTTAAGGAAAAGGAAGTACGTCAATTTAATCGCGCGATAGATTTTAATAGATTTAAATCTCTTGCTTTTTATTATTGTGTTCTGTTGCTCATAACGTTATACATTTGTATATGCAAGTTTATGTTAATGTTATTCAAGAACTTTCGTTCGATAATAAAAACAATGGAGATATTTATATTATACAGATACGATACAAAATGTATTTGTATAATATGACGACTAGATAAATCTAAAATGGAAACAGTCATATCAATAACTCATATAGTATAGACCACAATTATGTAATGAATTAATAGTTTCAAATATCTTTGTTTAATATTGATTATTGATCATTATGGCGGTGATGATTGTATGATAAAAATGGCTGAATATCGGTCGAGAGTTCCTTCGTGCTAGTTGCCAAAATTTCAGAGGTATACATCACTTTAGATCAATTGACGACGGGTATTATTGATCCGGAGAGCCTATCGTTTCTGGCAGTGGTATTTTCTTCCCTTTTCAAACATCTTACCATACTACATATATCCTTTGCCCTCGCCTCTGACCTACGGATATCTCTCGTTCATAGGAAATCTCGTTTCATCTTTCAAGATCATCTCGGTTTACGAGCAATTAACCAACATTGACCAATCGACTATCACAATATATGTGCTCGAGATTTCTACGATGCTTTCTTTTATGGCGACAGACGGGCCAGTTTCCGGTTGTCCATCATATCCGGCCTACAAACGAGCTTTCTAGAGCGGTTATATCTTTTTATCCCTTAAATGTATCGTTTTAAAGTTGGACATTACGGAAGTGAAGTTTTTTTATTATTTCTTCAAATGATTATACAAATATAATTTCTATTTCATTCGTTATTTATTTCATTTATTTTAACGCATCTAAAAGTTCGAGAAGATTTTCTTAATAAATACATTTCGTGCCATTCCTTGGTCTTCTCTCTTACTTTGCATATATGAATAAAGATTATCACGGTGGCTTAATTCTTTTCATTTGAGAAACACGCAAGTAATTTCAATGAAACGGGAACGTATGAATGAGGATTGCAAACATTACTACGCGCCCTTTCGCAATAACAAGCAAAATATTCTACACATCTTTTCTCGAAGAAGATGAATCGTCTACAATGTTTGAAACGCGAAATGAAAGCAATTCATTTTACATAATAACAACGCATATCGCATCGCGAACCCACCCACAATCTCTCTTTCTCTTCTCGTTTTTGTTCAGCTCTGTTTAATTCGAAATTATCTTCATTCACTATTCCATATAATGAATATAATAGAATTTCAAACAATATCGCGAGAGTGTTGTTAATCACATGTGTACTTTAATTCTTTTCCTATTGAACAATTCATGATTTATAGGTAGCATTTCTATTCGTGTATTTTTATATATGAAATTCATTTACATAATGAATAAGTTAAAAGTCTCTCATTTTTATGAAGTTATGCCGAGATAACTTTGGAAATAAATAATATCGTATCTATGTTTGCAGGAAGTCTAAAAAGCTAAAACTACTTTATCGTTATTAACTTTTAATCTTATAATTATAGAAGCTTCCGGTTTAAAGCTAAGTTGAAAATCGTTTATTTCTATTAAGTGATCGCGTAACTTAATATAGCAAATCTAAGATAATCGCGAATATCGAGTCGTTTGTAGTTGAATCGCAAGTTACAGACGAGAGCAACATTATGTCAAGATCCTTGAAAAGTGTAAAAGCCAAGCAACACGATTATTTGACGAAGGTCCCATACGACCGTGACCTATATTTAACAGTGACCCACTTGTGAAGCGGCATCACACGCAGAAACATAGGTAGCGCACCGTTGCCGATTACACGTTGTCCTAGAGTAAATCTGACCCACATCCGGTAGTTGCAATATCACATGCTGTTTGATTCGAATTTATGCACCGATTATATTGTAATGCTCGCGACGTTACAACTGCCGATGAAATATTCTGAGAATGGTTACCATGAAAATCCGGTTTCTTGGAATTATTCGGTAAATACAGTTACTCACGTTAAACTTTTCCTTACAGCGCACATGGCTGCGAATGTGGCTTTTGTACGTTTATTATTAAACAGTTTTCTTTTTAGAATTAGTATACAATATAAATAACCTTAAGCTAACGAACAAATTTCAAAGTAAAGTATATAGTAAAGAATAACAAAAAATAAAAACAGATAATTTGTAATTTTTCAACTCCGCTTATAAAATTTCATTTCTTTTGTTATCAAGTTTGTTACTGTTGTGCACGGATAAGTTCTTATTGATACTGGCAGCTTATAACTTGCCATTTTAAAATAGTATTAACAATATTTCGATCGTGCGCAAACAAGTTCATTTCTTGTAAGTCTTCTTCGTTTATGAAGGACGAAAAACGTTGACGTTAAGTACGAAAAAATCTTCCTCATATCCTGCATTAACCTTCTCTTTAAGGCGCACATGGCTGCGAGTATATTTCCTCTACTCGCCACGAATATTCACTTTGGATAAAAAAAGGGTTAGAATAAGATAAAAATGTAACCTTCACAACTGAAGAAATTAACAGATGTACAGATAGCTGGTTTGTTCCAATCTCTTTCCTCGAAGAAACTACATTATTAATACGTAATCAAACACAAAATCAAAACAATAATTTCAGATGTAATTAGAACCGAGC